TCGACCATTTCTGGCCGGCAACTTTCAGCGTCATTAAGCCGCTGTGCCACCGCGTCCCCCAGTAGTTAGTAGTAGTACTAACAGTGTTTAACAAAGGAGAAAGTTTCAAAGCAATAAAAAGCAACTTCACAATCCTATGCAACAAATATTCTTCACTCCTGGTAAAGGTAATGGGACTGTGCAAAAATACAAAAAGAAAGAACATCTGAGTTAAAAGGATAGGAACGAAGGGCAGAACCCTAGTTCACTCTGCAAGAAGAATCAAATTGGAAGACATGGGATCCACCACTTCAAGCAAATATGCTTACCCTAGAAGGGTACATTTTGCTGCCACAAATTCCTCTAGCCTAGCTCTAGATCAGCCTTCCCAACTCTGTGCCCTCCAGTTGTACATAATTTCTCATCAGCTTGGAGAAACCTGTATTACAGAACACTGAAAATGTACTGTTTTAGATACATGATATGTGCCTCCATCACAAAGACAAGCAAAAATAACAGAAATAATAACCACTTGGTCAAGGATGAACTCCTCTTTTCTCTTAAAATCCAAATATGAAAGTTACCTTTTCCACATAGCTATCAGCATTGCCCCCCAAACTCACAGCAACATTTTCTCAGTGTAGCAAACTCCTATGCAACTCCCAAGATATTTAGAAGGTGCCATGTTGGGAATGTCTGATCTACCTGTAAAACAAGCCCAAGTATTTAACTTTGTTGCTGATATATGTTTTTCTTCTACAGCATTAATGAAAATTACCTGCTACCTCTTGGTATTAAGCACAGCAAAATAGAAAATCTTTTCATACATGCCCCTGATGTGTCATCTAACTTGTCTCTCATTCTTGAAGGGGGAAAACAATAGGGAGGCCTCCAGGTGCACAAGGAAACATTTATTAATCTTAGTATGTTTTGGAATAACTCCTTCTTCTGGGACACTACAAACATAAATAAAAAACGCAGAACTTTAAGGACTTTTATAATGCAAACAACCAGGAACAAAACAACTAAATTGTTTATTATTTGGAAAGCTCCTTCTGGAATATTGAAACTTAAATCTCTTTGTGGTTTAGAAATCTATTCCTTCTGTCTAACCATATTAAGAGAAAGAAACAATCTAGACCTAGCATAATATTGATATGGATTCTACATTGCCTGCACAAGCTAGAGAATATATTCTCATCATAACCAATAAAGCAGAGATAGGGAATCTATGATCCTCCAAATCTAGCTGAAATATATCTGCCAGAATCATCAATGGTGAGAAATGTTGCATTTGTAATTTAGTTCAGTAATGCATAGAAGTAAAAAAATCAAATGATTGTGCTAGGAGTGTTGCAAATGTTTAACCCATAGCTGCATGCCATGAAGAGTAGTCACAAAAAAGATGGGAAAATCAGAACTGATTCCTTTAAAAACTGTGAATTTCAATTCATGTTTGTTTTAACTTATTTAATCAGATATCTTTGCTAATAAAACATTTACAAGGATTTTTTGTACCCTTTCTTCAAAACCAAGATGAAAAATAAAGTAAAAGTAGATAAGCCATATAGGAAAAAAACATTTTTTCAGCTGATAATAGGAAGCACCACAACAGTAAACATACACATAAGTACAGACCAGGACAGAGACTTAGAAAAACTTTAGTCTCCATCTTGTTCATGGCACATTTTCCAATCCACATTTTAGACAGAGGTGTAACCTGCTTTTGAACAGATTTTTGCCAGACTATTGGATTTGACTCCTTATCCAATTTCCATTCCATCTGTGTTGTCTAGCAGGATGTTGGGTCAGCAGGCCTGGTTTCAGGGCTCATGAAGACCAGGCTCTCCTGGTCTAAAAAAATCTGCTTTATAACCTTCAGATATGAACCAAAAACACTCTTTTTCCTTTGGCTACAAAAAGGTGCTAAATGCTTGGGACTAACATGTGCTATCAAAGTTCTGGAAAATATAATTTGCAATTAGGAACTCAGACTCATAAAAAAATATAGTTCAGGACAAGTCCAGAGCAAAATTACTGGTACTGCCAGCTGTGCCTGGGAAAGACTGTCAGAATTTTTGAAAGTCATTGCCAATCTTTACAAGTACATGAGCTACATAGAGCAATAGTCAGACTCAGTAAAAGGTAGCCTTTATGTTTAGGTACTTCTTCCCTCTTCTCTTTCCTTATCAGTTTTAATCATAATTTAGTATTAGCATCCATTACAGATGTTAATTACTATTAAAGCTAATTGAATTCCATCTTAGCCAGAATTGATGTACCTATTTCAGATCCTAGTTCACCATAGTTTTGAATTACAATGCTAAAAGAATGCCGTGCAGCACAATTTTATGCATGTCTGTGCAAAAGTAGATCCAGTTGTATTAATGGGAGTTACTTCAAATAAGCATGGAATTAAGATTAGCTGGAGTTAAGTAAATGTTCCACTTAAGTATAGTTAACTACAATATAGAGAGTACAAAGTTAACTTTTGAAATAAAAACAAATTCATCTATAAAAGTGGTTGAGTTCACATTGCTCTTAAACAATGGTCTTTTAACCATGGTTTGAATGAATTACAGTGTTTAGATCACACATAACATACTATAAAAATTTGTAGAAACCAAAGTTGTTAGGTTCACATATCTTGCTAAGTCAAAACCACACAAACCATGTTATAATGGTGATGTGTAAACCCAGCAAGAGAGGGTCTTCATGTAACAAAATTGCCTTTTTCATGGAATCTTAAAGCTGAAATTGTTGTTGGGGGTTATCTAGCCCAACCTCAATACAACATCCTTTACTTAAATGTATATTTAATAAGTCTGCAAAATAACAGGAAATCTACTTATGAAGCATTCAAGATTAGTTTTCCATTCTTGGAAACTGGTTAATTTGGATTTCCACTTGGTAATCAGTTAATAATGAGTATAGCTAGACTTCCATGAAACAAACTAACCAATCAAACTAGCTTATCGTATCATACAAACTCAGCCTATATTTTTAGTTTAAGTTTCAGTATGTCTCTTTCTTTGGAGTTTTGCCTATTTAACTACATTTGTGAGGTGCTATAAAATGTATGCATAGACTTTTGTGTAATAACTAATTAAAGCACATCATGGTGGAAAGTTAATTTCAGTTGCAAACAATGTTATTGATCCTGATCCTCCAGGGTATCATAACAAACAAGCTCATAATTACCATTTAGTATCACTCAATAAATTGTTCTATGGCGATTGGAATTTATTCAAGTTTCTGCTTTATTTAGGTCACATGGTACATGTTCTACCATCCAGTGACTCTTTTATGTTCTAAATGTCTACAGCATGTTTCACAGCACAAATCATTGTTTTAAATCTTGTAAATCTGTCCACAAGATGCACCCAGATGAGATGTAAGTGAATCAGCCATTCACAAATATTTCTTTAAAAAATAGTATATTTGATACAGTTAAAAGATCAAGAATGTGCTAGGACCAAAAAATTTACACAGGGACCTTGTATATCCATCAAGAAACTTCTGTATTTTCTGACCCACTCTAATTATTGGACTTAGTCCCCAGAGAAGAATATACCAGAGTTTACACATCATTATGCACAATCAACCAATCGTGTTGTTTGTCAATAAAAGAGATTAGAAGAGAAGGTCACAATTATTTGGAACTCTTGTTCCTCTTTAGCTTCCTATTACTCACCAAGGTTGGGTTGCGACATGGCCATTGATCGCTGTGATACTGGGGTGGAAGTGGCTGAAGGATGATGGCTCATGTGATTCAATGGCTGGGTCATAGTCTTTCGAGGATCTTGCCAAGTTGTAATTTTTTCTATATGGCTACAAAAGAGAAAGTTGGGGGTTAATAAGATTATTCCAATCCTAATTTTAATTACATGTTGCTCATTTGTTTATGCCATCTATCAGTCTGCCTCCATACTTTTTCTTAGCTTCATAACATTAATACATATCATTATCCAAAATTGCTATTTGTTTACTCTTCTGATATTAAACCACCACAGACCTGATTAAATATCTGTATTTGAGAGGAATAAACAAAATCAGCATATCTACGAGGCTATTCTCCAAAGTAGCCACCAGTGTGCCTCTTGAAATTACTCAGTTGCATTTGAGTGTCTCTGTATTATTGGATGTTGTCTTACAAACAAAGATAGGAATATGCAAACTTTGGAGAAATCTCTAGGACAAAGCTTTTGAGACATGTGAGAATTCCTGAATCCTGCAAAAGTTAATTTTCTGTTTATTTAAAAGCATTAACCCTTATTGCATTAATTATTGGTCTTCTTAGAGCCTGAAATTTCTTCATCAATTTTTACTACTTTCTCCTTTTCCAAATCCTTTTCTTTAGAATATCCTGCCTCCAAATATCTAGATATCCCTTGAACCTGTTTTATACATTATTTTCCTACAGCAGAGCAAATGCATTCTATAGTGGGATACCTCCCTTCCACTCACTCCAGAAGCAGCTCTAATTCTGATGGTAATTTCTCTGGAAAGAAATGATTCCATTTCCAATTCCAATCTTGCCTTCCAACTTGGGTGCAGATGTAGTTAGCTACTTGTAACAGCTAGTTATAATTACACACCTGGAGATTTAGTAAGGCCATCTTTCTATTCTAGCACCCTGAAGAGCTTCTATCACTTGCATACACGAGCTCATATAGATCAGCCAAAAGAAACAAAACCATACCAACATCAATGTCAGCCTTGCAAGCTAGTCTAGACAAGAAGTACACCCAGAAGAATGAGCTCTGCTTTATTGTAAGATTACATTAACAGAATCTTGCAAGTCTTGAAAGTACATTTCTGCCCCGTCACTTTTACAGCCCATGAACCTAGGAAGGATCCCTTCTGAGATGTTTACCATGTCCACATTCCTTCTGCAGGCTAAGTTGGCACTTATCTGACCACTGCCCTGACTGCGGCTCTTCCCCATCTCCCAAGGTCATTCCCACATACCATTACAATCAGCCTCCACATTTCAATCCTGGACTTCCTTCAGGCAAGCTTCAATAATGGACTACAATCAAGTACCTTCTGCACACAAATATCAATTCTCTCCTCAATCCTACCCATGGGAAACAATAAGTCTCTCTCAATCCATCTTTATATCAAGGGGTCCATAAGAGTATCTCTTGCCTAAGCCCAACTATTATCCACCAATAACCAACATGAGACTTTCAGTTAATACTTCGAGCTCTAGGCTAAGCCCCATTTGAACCTTTGCGTGAGTTGATCTTAAATATGGGTGTGGCAAATGTCTCAGAAGACAGCGGGGAGAAATGTACTTTCAGACTTGCAAGATTCTGTTAATGTAACCTTACAATAAAGTAGAATTAGTTCATTGGGTGTGCTCCCTGTCTGGACTGCCTCACAAGGCTGACAACAAGCCCACACTACAAATGTAGCCACCTTGGCTGCCTTCAGCACTAAAACCCCTGGAGGACATTTGTATGGCTACCACACAGTCCTCCATGTTTTTCTTTATAAAGCATCTATGTGGTTGCTAGGAGTTGAAAACAACTTGATGGTACATTATCAATCAATCAATAAGCTTAACTCCTGAAGCTTGCCTGAAGCATCCTTTGGCAGTAAGGTACTTCAGAAAATAGTTCCTAGCAAGGATTAGCTTATGTCTCTCCAGACATAAGATCCCACTCAGATATTATACCACTACAGAATTCCCTAACTCTGACTCTACTGCAGAAAACATAACACTGGACTTACTATGAAGGTCTTTTTTCTACATCAGAAACAAGGCATCCAGCCCACCCAGGCACTGAACCCCTAACAATGATATGGGGGCCCTATTCAGTTTCAGCAACCAGTTGTACCTATATAGCTATTCTTTATTTTTACCTTTCTCAAGTGTGCTTTATTTGAGTTCTCCTTCTAGCTTAGCATTCCAAAACTGGGGATGGAGCTATCTCCTCCCACAGGAAGCATCATCAGAATCTTCTAGCTCTACCTACTAAGCAAGATGAAGGGACAGATCAGAATGCCCTGTATCTACTGTAGGAAAAAAAAAAAAGATCTTCATGACAAATCCAATGTATTGCTCTTCATTTTTCTTGTGCATTCTTCCTTTTCTTCATCATTTTATACTTGTAAGCTTGCAGACAGAAACTGGATTTTTTTTAAAAAAAATTACAATAGATTCTTTTAAAAATTTCTTATGAATACTAAATAATAAGGTGTTAGTATATGAAGTGCCACAGACTCTGATGTTACTTCTAAAAGCACTGGAAATTTAGCTTCACCTTTACCCTAGATTTTCAAACTCTTTAGTTCAAAGGCACTTTCACTTTTCTGTATCATTTGCCCTCCCTTTCAACTACTGAGTCATTTCCTGACTTCAAGGTTTATCTCAAGACTACTTTTGCTTTCCAGCACTTGTTACTCTTCTATATTCTTTAACATTTTTTCTCTTCTTTTCCTTAAACTCTCTGCTATCTAAACATCTAAGCTCTTTTGTTTTATACCATCAACCTGAATCATATTTGATGTCTCTACATAAACTGGATGACAACTCCCATAATTCCAGCTTTTGTTCAAGATGGTTAGGAATTATGAGAGCTGTAGTTTAACACATATTGTAGTGGTAGAAAAGTTGCTAAAAGGGACAGACTGGAATCTCGACAAAATGCTTTCTGAAGAAAGAAAGCAACATGTAAAGTATTTTAGCTTAAGGAGAAAAAAATGAGGGGAATATGATCAGTATTTACAAAATCATATATGGAGTAAAGAATATAGATAGAAAATTCTCCCTCTAGCTCTCTCACACCTATAGAACGTGAGGTTGTCCAAGATTCACAGAGGACAAAAATAAGATTTGCCACATGAATATAAGATGAGAAATTCACTGTCACATTATGTCTTGATAATTGCTAACTTAGCCTTTTCCTCCATAATCAAATCAAGTTGATCCTAGTTAGAGTAACCACATACCACCTTCAGATGCACAGGCACCATACCACCAGAACTATTTGTAGGAAAACAGGCAGGAATGTATTAAGGCACTCATGTCCTGCTTGTAGTTTTCCAGAGGCATTTGGTAGATCATATTAAAAGGGTTGGAAATAGTAGGGTTAAGCTATCCATAGGAAAAAACATTATACAGTATCTGATTGAACACTTAAACACTCAGTTCTTGAATTGTATTTTATTTGATATTTTGTTAATATTTCTAAAGTGCTGAATGTTCATTCTTAATGAACAAAAGCTTTAAAGTTGATCCATTTCCCCAATTTGTCATTACAGCATACACACTTCAGTTTAAGTATTAAAAACAAACACAATTTTAAATCATCCCCACCCCCGGTAATAATAAATATACCTAACCATTTTGTACATCTGACTTATCAGCTCAGCAATTCTATGCATACAGTAGTTAGATTGTTTGCATTTTAAGAAGCCTCAACTGATAATCAGAGTACATAACCCACATATGTAATATAATTTACTAAACTGGAAGCGATCAAAAAATGTTGAAATATATTGCTTCAGGAAATTTCAAATGGAAACAAATTGAAATGCAAATAGAATACTAGATATTAAAATTGCACAATACGGTTTTCTCTTTCCATGGGAAGACGTAATTATCAACTAATAACACTAACCTATCAGTAAAAGTAGAATTTTTATATGAAATCCCAATAATTCTTAATAGTAAATTCTTCTTGATTGTGCAAAAACCTAGTGTCACATAGTGTCACAGTTAGACTTAACTGTGGCTTCTGATGCTAGTTCATAAACTGGCATCAAAACACATTTCCTGGGTCATAAGTAATAGGATTCTATAGTTTAAACAGATGAGAACTAAAATACAAGGAGAAAAGAAGTTTGGGACAGTGTTTTTTTTTCTTTGTGGCAAAGAAAATAACAGAAGTTGAACCACTTTATAATCTAATTCATATATCACATTACAATATGCCATGGCTGCTTATTATGGCTTAGTGTAACATGTGAATCCAGCCCATGGATTACATTCAGACTCCATTTTTTAATTTATGTCACACTGAAATCAATATCGGAATCAACTTTACATTGATTTTAGTGGGAACTAAATTCAGCTAATATAATTGGGTATGATCTGATACACTCTTATTTTCCCAGCAATACAAAAAGTGAGGAACACATGTCTTTATCTGTTACTACGTATAGGTACAATGATTTTAAAAGCTGTGAAATACATATATGATCCCCATTTTGTTAGCAGCAAGTTGAGCATCTAATAAATGACCACAAAACACTGGCTTCTGACTCAAAGTAAATGGTACTTTACTTTTATGTATGAACAAAGCAATGAGTTCTTCTAAGAAACGGCAGTGACAACAAATGAAGTTGTTTATTTTAATAAGTCTACCATTGAAATAGGCACCCATTGTTTCCAACCATGTTGTATTCTCCCTCCTATTACTGGCATGCTGTAAATATCACAGTACCAAGTGTTATCTACTCTTTTGGGAAACACATTTGTCACAACACTCCCTGCTGTAGCAGTTGCTTTCTTGCTCACCAAATTAGAATGAAAGGAACTGCAGAGCCTGGTTTTCCCCCTCTTTGTTTTGTCAGCCAGTTCTCCATCCCTTCATATGTAGCCATCAGAGATGCCCTGCCCTAAAGGGAGAGCCCTGCCATCTGCTTCTTGTCCTTTCATAACTATGAGCTAGATAACAACTATCTCCAAAATAAGGAGGCCCCAGAGTACCTACTCTCAAAGTGGAGCTCACATGTAAGGATGGTGCAGGAAGAAAGGAAAAGCACAATGCCATGAAAGTGTGAGATGCACTTCTGGTTTTTGAAAGGAGAGATAAGTG